CAGAGCTGGGCAGAACAACACTCACACAGAATTAGCAGGAAACTGCTCCACAGTGCCTGCAAGTCCCATGTGCACTGCTCCCAGTGTCTGGTGAGGAGCATGGATAGCCCATAACCTGCTCCTCTGTGTCCTCTCCCCACTCAGCATCACCCACGGCCTGTGTGAGCTTCCCAGAGCTCACCAGGACACAGCTTCTCCCACAGATGGTCATGGATGGGTGCAAGACATCCTCTCAAGATATCCCTGAGTCCAGAGCTCTCACCCAGGCCTGTGTTATCCTGGCAGTCATGGATGCAGAGCCTGAACTAGGGAGCAAGTACAGTTAGGGCAGTGCAGCCCATCCAATCAGTGTCATTGTGCCACACAGGCATGTGTCACCCAGCAGAGAATTCCTGCAGTTGTGTGACCACACCTGAAGCAGAGGTGAAATTCTCCTCCAAACCCAGATCTTTTACCAACACTGATAAATTCATTCACAAAACAGATACACATCAGATTTTTGTTGAAGCAGGGGAAGGCAACATTAGTGCAAATTAAATAAAATAACACAGAACACTCAAGATTTCCTCTGTGTCCCAAGAGAAACTAGTCAGGAAAAAGATGCTCTCAGTGTGATTACCTGACACACCAGAGAACAAAATACCTCTGCCATCTCAGCTGGCACCATCAAACCACACAATTAATTCAGCTCCTTTACCATCATAAACTTCAGGTTCAGGTTGTTTGGCTGGTAGAACTACTATCACACCTGGATTGGTTTTTTAAAATACATTTATTTTTTGCTATTTGAGCCCCAGTCACACACCAGAAACACAGCTGACAGCAGCAGAAACACACTGTACCAGCAGCTCACTGCTTCCCTACTTGGAACTTCTCATTCAGGCCTACTAACCCAGCTCCCAAGTCCAAGGCATATGTGGGATACTTGAGTAAGTCAAATCATGCTCTACAGAAGAAAAATAATCATCTTTTAAGGGTCCTTCAGCAAGAGAGCATCACTGACACAGCAGGAGCACATAATGAGCTGGAAGTTTCCAGGAAAAGCATGGCAGGAGGTAGGAGTTAAGCCTCAGCCACCCCACTGGGGTCATGCCTCCTCCTGGGCCTCAGGCCAGCACAGACAGCACACAAGTCCAGGTGAGCCTCACCCTGCTGCCCATGTGCCCTCCCAAACCCCTTAAGCATGGAGCTCATCAGCCTGCAGGCATTTATCCAGCTTAGCACATCCTGCTGGAGCCCAGCCCACCTGCACCAGGACACCAGCTCCTCCTGATTTCCATTTGAGAGATGATAAGCATTCTTCAACTGACAAGTTCCTGGCTGATAGCCCCCTTCACCTGCCACATCTTTATCCAGATGTTTTGGGTTAGTCCTGGATCAATCTCCAGTCAAACCAGCACCTTGAGCTGCATCCTGCACAGCTGTGGGAATAAATGTGTCAGGATGAGGGAGTGTGGTGGTTTGACCAGGAAGGAGTGGGAATTCTGGGAAGGGGCACTGGCTCTGTGCCAGGCTCAAACCATGACAGGGAGGAGGTGGGACTGCACTGATGCCAAATGAAAACATCCACCAAAGCACTGGGGAACTCCCCAGCACCCAGAACTGCTCATCTGGAGGACAAAGCTTAATGCCAAGAACCACACAGCCTCACACCAAACGATTCCAGAGAATTAAAGGATAAGGATTTACCTTTATGGGCAGCCCCTTGAAGGTGAGGGTACTGCAGTGACTCAGAGAGGGACTCCCTGCACCACAGAGCTGCCACTTGCCCTCCCTGGGGGCTTGCAGCTGCCTCAAAACAGCGTGGGAGACACAACAGCTTCCCTCTGTCCCTGGGAATATCACCTCAGACTCTAAGAGCAGTTGCTCCCAAGCTGTTCCCAGTTACAGCCCAATTCCCATTGGATTCATGCAGTCCCAGCACAAACACCAGAGCTCCTGACAAGGCCTGACTGGGACCTGAATGCTGGAACAGCTCCCTTCAGAAGAAAACACTGGGAAGAGACACAGGAAAACTGGAGCTGGTTCCCTCAGCTTCCACAGCCACTCAAATCAAGATTGGTAACACACAGTGTTTCAGGTCCTCTGCTTGTCACAAACACACGTTAAAAAACCTGTTGTGACAGAAACTACACTGACACCAGTTTCATGTTCCTATCTCAAAGCTCCTTCCCCAGCTTCAGCCTCCAATGCCATATTTCCAGAGCTCAGCAGCCAAATTCCCTTCATTAGGACAAACTCAGTGACACAAAAGGACCCACAAAGCCACCAAAGCCAAGCCCACACCTCTGAGCAGGCTGCATCCATCCATACCAGCCTCTCTGGGTGGTTCAGCCCTGCTGCCAGGAAAAGCCTTTCCCCTCTGCAGCTGCAAGAGAAGCAAGCCTGGAACAGGACTGTCCCAGGGGCACCACTGACCAGTCTCTGGCTGTATCGGATCCGTTCTTCCTCGGGCTCCATCTCCGACTCCTCGGAGGAGAGCGAGAAGGACACGCCAGGACTGCTGTCGTCGTCCTCTTCCTCCTTGGGAGCCAGAGGCAAACAGTGAAAAAGGGCACAGGGACACCCACACCCCTCACTTCCCTTCTCCTCTCGGGGCCAACCCCACCCTGCCCTGGGGGCTGAGAGAACCCAGTGGGTGAGCCCACCCCAACCGCTATTTTAACTCAGAATAAATGTCAGGGTAAAGGACTTCACCAGCTCTTCTGTAACACAACAGGAGCTGCAGGTCTCCCACCCTGGCTCCACACTACCACCAGCAGCTCCTCTGGCCCACAGTGGGATAAAAAACAGGGAAGGTGCTGTCAAACCCTTCTCCAAACAACACCATCACTGGCCTTGGGATATCCTGTATCGTGGCACCCGGGAGAAACTACGGTGGTTCAGGATATGTCCCATGAGCAGGGAAGGCATATGGGATCGCTCCTACACACAGCACCCAAGCAGGGGAGCAGTTAGGGATCTAACTCCTGGCTGGAGGAGACCTAAATGCTGAGCTCTCCAAATGTGCCACCTTGTGACACCACACACCAACCTGGGAAAACCTCCCAGGGCGTCAGATGGCACCTACACTTTTTTTTTTAAAGGGATAGAAACCAACCAAAGCCTGGGTATGGCACGGCTCTTAATCCCCAGCACTATGCCTAAGTCGGACATTCGGGGAGGAGAATCGGGGAATAGGATCGAGGAAGGGGATCCGCCATCCCCTCAGTGTTACAGAACCGCTACGACCACGCAGGGCGATCTCGCTCCATCCTGCTCCTCCCCGACCCCCGAGCGCTCCCGGTCCCGCCAGCGCCTTCCCCACCCCTGC